CAATTTAAGGGAGTATCGGATCGGCCTCCAAAAAGTGGTATCGGTACATCCCTAATTGAAATGCACGATGTGACTAAAATTATCACGCTGAAAATGTGCTAATTTTGATAAAAAAATTTACATTCCAATATTGTATTGATTAGTTTATACTAAAGGTGATGAAAAGATGTCAATAGTATTATTTTATTCAATAAAACAATGTTTGTTCTTTATTTTAACCAATTTTACCATGTGTATGGGATAAAATGGTGCAAATAGCTCCTATGGGTAGATATAAATAAATAATTTGTTCTATTTCAAAATTTTATGATAAAATGGCAAAATACCAATCGTTTTACCCAGTTCTCCTCTACAATTTTTTTATTATGATAAAGTTTAGATATAATGCTAATTAGTAGAGATCTGCAAAGTTAGGCCCGGCCCGAACGGGCTTCGGGCCTAATTTTATTTAAAATAATCGGGTTCGGGCCTAAATTTTTAAAAAATTTCGGGCCGGGTCGGGTCTGACCTTGGAAATTTTATTAAATATATCTAAATTTATCAATTTCATATTGAATATTTTATGTAAAATAAAAAATTTTGATTTAATTTATTGAAACTAAACGCTATATAACATATGTCTTTTATTTTAAGTAATTATAAAAATTAATTTATATATTTAAACAAATTCGGGCCTGGCCGGGCCGGTAATTTTTAAAATAAATTTCGGGTTCGGGCCGAGCCGGCAAAACTTTTTAAAAAAATTTCGGGTTCGGGCCGGGCCGGTATATAAAAAATAATCAAGGTTTGACTAAAAAAATAGACATATAATGTATAGTAAAATTGTTAAAATTATTAAATGTTAGTATAATGATAAACTAAATAAGATCTAGCCAGATATAATTAAAAAGCTCAGCATATGAGGAAAAGTCCTTAACACTGGTTATTATTTATTCTAATTTAAAGATTCTGCTAATCTTAACGATAGAAATAACAAGAGTATTAAAAAAATTTAATTTTTTTGTCCTCCTAAATTAAATAATAATTTTTTAGGCTTAGTATCGACTCTCAAAATTTTCTGCTTATTTGTCATTTTGTATCTATTGTTTTTGCAATTCTATCTTCTGTACTTATTAATGACAATGCCCCATCAAATGTATACACATAACACACTTTAAAAGCCAAAAAAGAATTTTCAAAGGAATAGTCATATATTTAAGAAGCTTATTGATATTTTTCATTATAACCAAGATTTATTTGAATTCAGGAAAAGAGTTCTAAATTTTGCTTGTAACAAGAATATCATAATGTAAAATGAATGGCTGATATTATTAGCATCCATAAAATAGTGGCAGTGGCTAGGTGCCCCCAAAAATTGGGGGTACCTAGGATTTTTTTAGGTTCCCCCAAGAGGGTATATAGAATATTTTCTAGGTGCCTCCAAATAGATATATTTATATTGAAATTATGGGGGCAATAAAAAAAATAGATACTTTTAAGCTTATTAGATACATACATGTATTGAAATTATGGAGGCAATAAGAAAAATAGATACTTTTAAGCTTATTAGATACATATAATGAAATTATGGGGGCAATAAGAAAAATAGATACTTTTCATAAAACTTTTATTTAAAATCATAAAATTAATCTTATAAACATTTAACGACATGTTGTACAAAAATTATATTTTTTCCGTGGTTTTTTTAATAATATTTGGTATATAATTTGATGGTTTATTGAGGTAGCTCCCAATATTGTGGATATCCTTTAAGGTTATCATTTTTCCTGTCTTTAAAATGACTTCCTGTATTTTAACTTTATTTCCTTTTATAGATAGAGATTGTTCAACAAATTGTCTCTTTGTAGGTGACAATTGTCTTTGTTTAGGTAGAAGCATAAAAAGCTTTTCATTTAAAAATATGAAAGTGTATAAATATATGAATATAATGAATCTAACCTAGCTCATGATTTGTATGAATATCTTCCAATTTATGGATAACTAGATATTGTCCTGTAGTTTCTTTTACAAGTTGTACCACTAATTTGAACATACAATCTTTACGTAGACTTGAGGTTTTTCTAATACCCCTAGATCTGGATATTTTTTGAAGGCCATATTTACAAATAAAAGTAGCCCTTTTGTACTTAAATCGTATTATATCCTCTTTAGTGTAAGGAGGTTTAAGTATATCAGATTTATGAATAACAATATTTGTGAAATATTGTTTTTCATAAATACTTAAGACTTTATTTAAATCTACTATTGAATTAAATTTGGCATTTATCTACAAATATAATATATAAACATTGTTATCAGTAAATTGTTTACCTTTATACTGGAATTTGTACCATCCATAATGATATTAAAGTAGTGATCTTAAATGTATGATAAAGGTTTATTTTAAGGGTTTATTTAAATCAACTATTGAATAAAATTTGGCATTTATCTACAAATATAATATAAACATTGTTATAAGTAAATTGTACTGGATTTTGTACCATCCATAGTTTTAATAACTGTAAAAATAAATTGGCAGGAAATTCAAAAAATGGGGGGGCACCTAGCCTTTGCGACTCAAATTCCTTTTTCATCGAGGTGAGAGCATCATTGAACATTTTTTAAATTTAAAGAAAAAGCCATTTTATTAAAATCAGAGATACACCAATATTTTGTTATATTAATATCTCAATTTAAAAATAAAAGTAGTAATTCTTTTCCGGTGCTGGGCTTAAATTTTTTTAAAATCTGAGTGTGAGCAGAGCCTTAAAATGATCCCTGCAGGTCTGAAAAAATACATAAAATGGAGGTACATTTCTTCTTTTAAAAGACTAATATTTATAGGAATGAATGTTTTCCTTATAGGTGTGTTAATACTTAGGTGCTTTTGCCTCAGCACCCCCTTTAAAAAAATTAACACCCTATTTTTTAAAAAATAAGCATCCATTTAGGAAAATGAATTTGTAGAACTGATAACAATTTTTTTTAGATTTGACTTTTAAAGTTTGACTTTGCTTATCTTAAGAGGTTTTAAAAAAGGCCACACACATAGGTTATTCATCTGAATGTGATGATATTGTGAGTTGATGAAAATAAAATCAATGTTTATTTTATCTTGATTGATATTTTTTGAATTTCCCGCTAATTTATTTTTTTACAGTTATTAAAACTATGGATGGTACAAAATCCAGTATAAAAGTATACAATTTACTTATAACAATGTTTATATTGTATTTGTAGATAAATGACAAATTTTATTCAATATTTGATTTAAATAAACCTTTATCATACATTTAAATCACAACTATAATTATTATGGATGGTACAAATTCCAGTATAAAAGTAAACAATTTACTTATAACAATGTTTTTATTATATTTGTAGATAAATGCCAAATTTTATTCAATAGTTGATTTAAATAAACCCTTAAAATAAACTTTTATCATACATTTAAGATCACTACTATAATTATATCATTATGGATGGTACAAATTCCAGTATATAGGTAAACAATTTACTTATAACAATGTTTATATTATATTTGTAGATAAATGCCAAATTTAATTCAATAGTAGATTTAAATAAAGCCTTAAGTATTTATGAAAAACAATATTTCACAAATATTGTTATTCATAAATATGATATACTTAAACCTCCTTACACTAAAGAGGATATAATACGATTTAAGTACAAAAGGGCTACTTTTATTTGTAAATATGGCCTTCAAAAAATATCCAGATCTAGGGGTATTAGAAAAACCTCAAGTCTACGTAAAGATTGTATGTTCAAATTAGTGGTACAACTTGTAAAAGAAACTACAGGACAATATCTAGTTATCCATAAATTGGAAGATATTCATACAAATCATGAGCTAGGTTAGATTCATTATATTCATATATTTATACACTTTCATATTTTTAAATGAAAAGCTTTTTATGCTTCTACCTAAACAAAGACAATTGTCACCTACAAAAAGACAATTTGTTGAACAATCTCTATCTATAAAAGGAAATAAAGTTAAAATACAGGAAGTCATTTTAAAGACAGAAAAAATGATAACCTTAAAGGATATCCACAATATTGGGAGCTACCTCAATAAACCATCAAATAATATACTAAATATTATTTAAAAAACCACGGAAAAAATATTATTGTACATGTCGTTAAATGTTTATAAGATTAATTTTATGATTTTAAATAAAAATTTTATGAAAAATATCTATTTTTCTAAATGCCTCCATAATTTAAATATATGTATCTAATAAGCTTAAAAGTATCTATTTTTCTTATTGCCCCCATAATTTAAATATATGCATCTAATAAGCTTAAATAAATCTATTTGGGGGCACCTAGAAAATATTCTATATATACCCCCAATTTTGGGGGCGCCTAGAAAATATTCTATATACCCCCAATTTTTGGGTCACCTAGCCACTGCCGGAATGAGTGATACCCTACAATTATTAAGGTTGTTTGATTCAAATAGATCCTCCTTAACCTGATATTGAAAATGTTTTTTAAAGTAAAAATATATCTAATATGAATCCAAAATTTTAATTTAAAAATTGCTTGTTAATGTGAAGTTTAATTTCAAGCTTTTAGATTTTATCTAAATGTGATCAGAATATTCCATTATTACTTCTTTTATAAAATATGTATTTCAAGGTATTTTTTTATTTAAATTTTAAAATGGTCACTTAAATTCTCATAAGTCAAGCTAATTTCAATCTTATTGCAAAGGCAAAAAATGTAAAATAAAATTTAATTGTGAAAAAGAATTTTCCAATATTTTATTCCAAATTTTATAAATATAATTGAGTGTTTTGAAATTTGTTAATGTGTTTTTATATATTGAGATTCAAATTTTCTCAAAAATTAATCAGTACTTATCTAATATATCAGATACTTTTATACAGAAATATGACCTGACCTCTCATTTAATAAATAATAATATTTTAATACCCAAATATATAATATAATATAGCAAAATGAAATTATAAAGAATTATTTTCTTTTCTAACCTCTTTTAATGGATTTTCAATTCTTAAATTATATTCTAATTTTGAATTATAGTAAAGCATGTAAGTATTTTCTGCAAACCAATAACCTAATTTTAAGTGTTTTTTGGGCCTTTTATAACCACCTCTATACCATGTATATTCCAAGTTAACATCATTTTCTAACTAATATAAATATATTTTAAAAAATTTATGGATATTAACTATTGAGTTCAATAATATTGGATTATATAAAGTGCATAATGATAAGCAAATAGATGCAATTGATTTTATTAGTTCTTGTGTTCTCAAATTATTTATATTGATAAGAGTGAGCGATTTTGGATATTTTTTATGTTTATAAATATAAATTATATTATCCTTCAATAATTTATGATTTATATCAATATTTCCTTTAAGAATAAGATTCTGATTGAATTCTTCATTAAAATAGTTATCAGGCAATTCTGCCACCAATTTGGTCTTTGTAATGTATTGTATAAAAGATAAATTATCAGAACTTGCATTCCAATATGATGGTATGATAAATTGCCAATATTGAGGTTTTATTTCATTGATATGCTTAAGTTTGTTAGCATACCCATTATTTAGTAGCAATTGTTTGCTTCGTAAAATCCTTAAACCTTTATTTTCATATTTATTTTTAGGATTTTCTCGAACAGGATATAAAAAAGGGGGGTATTCTGGAGACTCGGTATATTGATCGTTTATTAATGTTGATGAAAAATATCTTATAATGAATTTGAAATTAGATTTAATTTTTATTTGAAGCATGTAATTATAAAAAAATAAAGTGAAAAGTTTAAGATGTTATCACATGTGAAGATGACAGATGTGAAATTTAGTATTGTTTTTCATTTCACCTATTTAATTTCCTATTTTGTGGTTCATTTTAACTAAATATTTAAGTTTAAATTTTAGATATTTCACTCAATAAATCAATTATAAATAAGTTTATACAAATAAAAGTAAAAAAATAAGAAAAAAGCATAATTAGAAAAAGATATTTTAAAATATTTTAATTATTACTTTACAGAGTTTAACATAGACTGTAATATAAATAAAGCCCATAGGGGCCAAAATTTGTGGTCATGCCTGTATAAGGCCCATGAATTCTTTTTAAGCTCAGTTCTAAAAAAAAGCCCACATCATTTTTAATAAATAACGAAAACCAGACGCATCAAAAATTATAGTGTAGGATCAGGCTCATGAAAATTTAAAATAGCCTGGCAAACTAAAAATATGGCTTATAAAGAATGATATTGAAAAATTTCCAAGCCGCGACTATGATAATAACAGCGGCGTCGTTAGCCTTTGCAATCTCAAGGGGCTCAACTAAAAAAAACTTTACCCCGATACTCCCCATTTGCGGGAGTTCGGCCCGCTTTCGCCCGGCCTTCGGCTGGGTTTATATTAATATATTATACTATTTACATATTTTAAAATTTATTATATTATGCATACAAAATAAACTAGCATATAAATAATTAAAACAATATAAGACATTTCTAAAAATATTATTTTTTAATACAAAATCCATTTATTACAGTATAAAATATTTTCAAATGTGATATAAAAAAATTTTGCGTCTAAAAAATTACAAGTGATAAAAAATGTTACTTAATTCATACATATGCCTCAATTGATAATGGTTTTTAATAATTACATATTATAAAATTAGCAACTAACATTGATAAAAGATCAAGAAACTAATATAACACTCTGTTACCATTTTTAGACAATGTTTTATAGAATGAACTAATAAGGAAAAATTTATAGGCCTAACCAAATCAACAATTCTTGGAGAAGAGAATATAAACGACCAATCCAAATCATAAAATTATATGGTGGTTAGAGCTTCCTCTTAAATGACATGATGGAAGTTAGATAAGTAAATGAGAAAAAAATTGTAAGATATTAAATTTCTAAAAGATTAACTTCCATTTTTAATGATATATAAACAACTACACAGTTGACCATTATTGCTTGTAAAATATGCAATCATATGCTCTCAGCAGCTGTAATAATAATCTTAAATTACATAGCCACACAAATAATAGATGCTGGTTAATTTGTAGTCATAGCCATAACACTCACTATATTAACTTATATCAGAATTTATTATGCTAGATAAATTGATAAAACAAAAACAAAAAAATATTTAGAAGAAATTATGCAAATGTATTGAAGCCTTAAGTTATTTACAAGGCAGGGATGCCATATTAGAAATGAAACATTTTGTAAATATAAAATAAAAAGTAGAGTGATATGATATGAAAAAAGAAATTAATTAAGATTTTATATATTATTGTCGCACTACCTCTAGTTGGTATATTATATCTTAAAATAGTAGCAGTTTGTAATAATATCAAAAATATACTAGTATTTAAAATATAACTCAAAACTGTTTTTCAAATAAGAAAAAAATAGCTTTCCTAAAAATACGTAAATAAGAGAAAAAATTTTCTAATTTATTACATTCATACTGGGATAAATAATAAGATGTTAAATTTCAAATAATATTTTAAATAAATAGATGGCGTTAAATATTTAAAAGCAATTTATTACTTATATTAATTATCAAATCATTTATTAATAAAATTTATTAAAATATTAACTGTAATATATAATATAACTGTCAAATACGTTTGTAAAAGTGGTATTTAACCTAATATTTTATAACCAATTATATCTAATAGAGGATTGAAAACTATATGTTTACTTACTTTTTATAAATAAATCTCTTATACTTATTTGGATTTGGACCTTGAAAATAATTTTAAGAAGAGGCATGGTAATTAAATTTAAATATCAATAATATAGTTGATTAGTGATTTTGAATTCGGCTAATTACAAAATTAAATTTGTTAATTTTCAATTAATATTTATTAAAAAATTTCCAATTTCTATTAAATATACCAAAAACGTGCTGCTGCTAGTTGCATCAAGATTATTTTCCTATAGCTCACTACTTTGCAGAAATTTATAAAAACCAAATTTAGATTTGGTTCAGGTTAATGAGTTGGCGGAAAATATATATGAACAGGTAGATACAATAAGAATGAATGTAGATGAATATTTTCATAATATTTATATAGACGTTGAATCGAAAGCTAAATTTTATGATATAACACTAATTAAACCTCGTCTAGCACCTAGGCAATTATTGGGATGTAAAATAAATATTGGCTCAACTGAAGAATATTATAAAATTCCATTTTCACCCCATTCTTAGATACTTTTTTATAGCAAATAAAAGTACGGTTTTTAGGTAAAAAAAACAAGTCTTTAGCAATCTTCAAGTTTTATTACCCAAAGATCTTTTATCGTTTTCTAATGTCACTATTGGTAAAATTAAATATTTAGCAAGATTTTATTCCTATGATATTGATACTGAAATAAATTTAATCATTGAATTGAAATTGTGGTATAAATATTTACTACGTTTAGCTATTTTACCTGAGCATGCTATTGATGCGCTCAATCGGTGTAAAGAAACCTTGGCTCAATTTCCTAATATTTTGAAGTTGTTTTATATTCTTGCATGTTTGCCTATTGCAACATGTACGAATGAAACGACTTTTTACAACTTGAGAAGGTTGTAAACATATTTACGAAGTACTACATCCGAATCTCGGCTAAATGGGTTAGCTCTGTTAAATATCCACAGAGATTTGGTTCCAACGACAAACAAAATTCTTGATGAATTGGCAACATTCCCACGAAAATTAAAAACCACATTATAATTATAGTATTTAATAAAATTTTTTATATAATATTGTATTTGAAAAGAAGTTATAAAAACTTGTTTTTTAAATTATTTTCTAGTCAATATTTTATACACACCACATTACTATTAGTATTTTCAATAAAAAAAATTATATTCTACTTATATTGTATGAGAATTTAAGCTGAGGCTAGTTTTTAAAGCAAATTTTATAAAAAAAATGACATTAAACTTTATTTAAACTTTACATTTAAAAAACTTCATTAAATCCTAACTTAAATAAAAAATAGGCTTGTAATATCCATAAGCACAAATTAGTAAATAATAGTTAAAAATAGAAATATAATTATTATTAAGACCCGCCGAAGGCAGGGGAAAAGCTGGCTGAAGACCAGGTAAAAAGGGTTTAGGGGCGAAGCCACAAACCCCCCCCCCCCCCCCAAGAAAATCTTGGATACGCCACTGGCTAGGACGGAGTGGGCAAAATCCATGACAACCACAACAATATTTCCGATATCTGTAAAACAGAAGGATTGGGATTTACCACTTGTGAAAAACTCCGTTGATTACCTTATTTCAAGTCTTTCACCTTTGGCTAGGTCCACATTCATTGAACTTATCAAAAATCGGAGATATGAATTCCTAGATGTTATTCCATCTAGTCATCTTAAACTTGAATTGGACACGAGCTTAGCTATGCTTTATGTAACAGGCTCAACATTCCTTTTTCATTACCATATAAATGCAGCAAATGTCATACTGATAATGACAATATGGCGCTTCATCCTTTACAATGCAATCATAATCCCGGTCGGAAAACCCGACACTCGAGGTGCAATCTAATCACATCTCTTGCACTTAGGTCAGCTGGTTTTCCTACCTCATTGGAGGCTTCTGGTCTATTTCCCGATGGTAGGCGTCCTAATGGAGTTACACGAATTCCATGGTCATATGGAAAGTTTCTGATGTAATTTTTCTTGTTTGGACACGAACTCTCCTTCCAATTTTAACGAGGATGCTCTGAACAGAGCTCAAAATTTTAAGATCACCAAGTATAGCGCTGATTCTTCTAATTACATATTCGTACCAATCATCTGCTCCACTTTAACAACATATGGTGATTTGGCTAAAAAGTTTTTTAAATACGTTGGCCGCCTAATCAGGAAAATTTCTGGAGAACCTCGGGAAGGCTTTTACTTAAGACAGAGGATCGCAATAGCTATTCTTAAGACTAATTATGTTTGTTTTATCAATTCGATCTCTCCCGATGATTAGAGGAACAGGATTTTGAATAATTGTGCTGGTTTCGCATTTATTTATTTTGTATTTTACATTAATATATTATTTATAATATTGTCTTTTTGTTATTATGATTTTTATTTATTTATCGTTTACTAACTATTTACTTCATTAATTGTACTTTATTCAATATTTTTTTAACGTGTCTCAAAATACTAAAAATATTTAAATTTATATCAAATAAAACACTATTATTACTAAAATTTCATTCAATATATGTTTACAATTATTATTTTCTAGAGTTATACATTTACTATCTGAATGTTGACCAAGGCAGCAACTAGGAATTATGTCTCAGGGGAGCTCTGGGGTATAGCAATTTCTTTGGTCATATTTCGATCATAAATTGCAAACAATCAGATACAACTGGAAATTGCATATTTCAATTAATCATTGGTGAATAAACAGAATATACTATGAACTAGGTGATTAATAAAAATATGCAATATATTATATCAAAATATAAATATTTAGTAAATAACTAAATTTGGTAATATTAATCAAAATTTATATAATATTTAAAATTTATGTAATAACAAGGTTAATTTAGAAATTATATGACATAAAAACGTTCAAAAGGGGAAATCAGTAATTCATTAAAGGCGAAAATATTTTTAGGGGATCACTATACCCCCCCCCCCCACCCACCATCCGTTATTTTTCAGTTGTTGTATCTCTTGATTTATATGTATAAACGCGAAAATTTAAATATATATCATAATTAATTATAATTTATCATTTACTTTTGAAATTGAAATTTAATTTTCA